GAGTTCTAACTGCCTACATATCCTTTGACCCAGCAATACTACTAGCTCTGTCTCTAAAGATGATTATGGCAAAAGGAAAAGAACCGGTATGTTCTAAAATATTTATAGCAGCTCTCTTTGTGGTAGCAAAGAATTGAAAATTTCAGGGATTCCCATCAATTGAGGAATGGCTGAACAAGTTACAGTATATGACTGTGATGGAATAATACTGTGCTGTAAAAAAAAAATTTTGAACTCTATGATTTTTAGAAAAACATGGAAAGACTTGCACAAAATAATAGCAGGATAAGCAGAACCAAGAGAATGTTGTAAAAACAGCAATATTGTTTTAAGAACAACTTTGAGCAACTAAGTCATTTTGACTACTATAAATACCCAAATTAACTACAAAGGACCTAAGATGCTATCTGCATCCAGAGGAAAAACTGATAAACAGATGTATAAAATGATTTTACATATATAGATATTTGTGTCTAATGGTAATCATCTCTACGGTGGGGAGGGAGGATGACCCTAAGGGAGAAAAAGGGAAAAGCTATACAATAACTTTAATAGATTTGCAATTTCATGTACAATCATCTTTTTTTATGTTAATGTGATGGAAATGCTTGTTTTAAGTTCAGAACAAAATTAAAAGGGGAGAATAGACAGAAAGGGAGTTAACAGACAGCAGTTACCATAATCTGGATTGGGTAATTTTGATAGTGAACTTCAGTGGGGAAGAGATTATTCAGATAATCACAATGTTGTGTAATTGTTGTAACCGAAGCAGTCATTGAATAAAGATGATCTTGGGATCAGACACAGGAGCTGGCAGGGACACTGAAAGAGGTTCCTTGTTCAGCCATTTTTCAGTCTACTCCAACTCTTTGTGACCCCATTTGGGGTTTTCTTGGCAGATACTGGAGTGGTTTGCCATTTCCTTCTCTACCTCATTTTACAGATAAAGAAACTGAGGCAAACAAGGTAAAGTGACTTGCCCAGGGTTACACAGCTAGTAAGTGTCTGAGGCCAGATTTGTACTCTGGAATGTGTCTTTCTGCCTCCAGGCCTGGCGCTCTGCACTACGGTGCCACCATAGCTGAATAAAGTGAGGATCAGGGGTGCCTTGCCCACGGTCACACAGACACTGACAGGTCATTTTGACTGTCACTGAAATTTTGGGGGAATAAAAAGTGAAAAAAAGTTTTAAGTCTTTGGGTAACACACAGCTTGGAAACTGAAAATAAGTTCTGTAGGTGGAAAATTATTCTGGGTTGCTAGATACCTTTGTTACGTTTATAAAATACTCATAGATAGCTCCCTTATGCAATTCTATGCCGACAAAACTCAGGAAAAAGGCACAAATATGTCATGTCACGCTGGTGGACTGGTGGATGCTGCTACAAATACATGGTATGTCTGATACCTGTGGTTCTAGGCCCAAAACAATGCAAATAAGGATGCGCCTTACTGCACAGAATTTTTGGTATTCAGCCTTCTACAAACTTAAATGGAAGCCAGTTTTACTAAAGGAAGGATGCATACTCAGGTGTGTGTGTATGTAGCTATGTTACTAAACTGAAACCTTTTTTACCTCGAATTAACATTCTTGGGACTCTGCCTCCCCTCTCACATTCAAATTTTAAATACCACATTAAAGTTTTGTTCAAACTCACTTCAAAGCTATTTCCCTTAGCAATGGAAAAAAGCCATTTGGAAGATAAAAGTAAAATTCTTCAGGGCACTTTGTTGCTTAACTAGACAATAAAAGTACAATTTCAATCTTCCGCCTTGCACATCTAGAATGCTAGGAAGATCTGTTTCTAAAGCTGTGATAGTGCTAAATTGGGCATAAAGAATTATCTGCAGTACCCTAGCCCCTGTGGCTCAGATTCTCTATCCTATAACAGATACTCTGGCCAACCTACACTTTGCCATCCCGATTCACTGTCTGAGAAAACTGACACATCAACATGCATCAGATTAGAGGGCTTTTCTGTATACAAACAGAAAGTTTGTGGGGTTTTTTTGGTGCTAACACTGTACTCCAGATGCACCACTCTTCCCAACAAATCTGTGGCATTTGGCAGATGTCATCTCCCCCCAAACCTCCTTTGCCTAAAGCCAATCTAAGGCAGTAGACCTCAGCCCTGCCCACATAAGGCAGGTGAAAGCCCAATTATTGAAGATAAAGCCTAAGGCACATCTTCTGCCTCATTTCCTGGTGAGGCTTCTACTAGCCATAAGAAATTTTATTAGGAAAGGATTAAGATCTATGTACCGTATGTAATTTCCCCTGGATATGGTGGTAAGTTTAATCACAAAATCACTAATTTTAGAAAGCAACAGTTAACTTAGTAGTACAACCAGTGACACCAAATGCATGTATTTAGGTATATTTTAACTGTCTATATTACAATCAAAAGAAACAGTGAACAGAAACAAAGATTACTATTAGCAAGGACTGCTTTCAATTTGAGATTTATATTTACCTAGAGCAGGGATTATTGTGGAAATCTGATGAAGTCTATGGCCTTCTCAGAAGGTGGTTTTTTTTTTTTAAGGCACAAAATACACAACATTAAAAAGGAAACCAATTACATTGAAACAGTTATCAATGATTATAAGAAGTTCACACAGTCTTCATGTTAATTGAAGAACTCCTGTCCTAGAGAAATGTGGGTAGTGGTTAGACCAGATTTCTTCTACATCCATTTTTCATGGATTCTATCTAAAGGTAAATATATGTAAAAAACAGAACAAAACAGTTCAAAGCAAAAAATATAAGGCATTATCCCTATCTCCAATAATGCATTCAGTGCAGCTTAACAAAAAGAATTAGCTGTAAAATCAATGAAGAACTTAAATGTCAGGATCTGCTAGTTGGAGGTCTGTCTGGCCTGGGGGTTTAGCTGTGGGTGTGATAAAGAATGGACTAAAAGCAGCAGACATACATTTGATAAAGCAACAACTACAGTAAGAACTGGATTGATCTACTAACACCAAATTTAGCACACAGATGAAACACAAAGATTACATTTAGATTTATAGATATATATGCAGGAGAGATAAAATTCCCAAGAAAGAGTATCAATATCAACTGAAGCCTCAAAAAGAAAGCTTTATGTATGGTTATAGTAATGTGATTTTAAAGGGGGCAGTTGGGGCTCCAAAAATTTAACTTACTCTAACTATTCAGAAACTTTCCAATAACATTCAGTGCTGCAATTATAACTTAACCTCAAATTGGATACCCTAAACAAAATTGCCAACATTTGAGTTTGGGGGAGGGGGGAAAAACTGGGTTGGGTTTTCAGCATTCCCTTAAAGTTCCTTCCATCTTTAAATTCTACATTCAATTAATTTATCAACAATATCCTTTTGTTCACAGCAGTACTGTATGTAGACCCTGGAAAAGGGAGATCCTTGCCCTCAGTGACTTTATTGTCTAAGTGTATATTAGTGTGATCTCTACTAATGGAGTACTCCTAGCTCCAGTTTAACCTACTAATCTGGAAAAAAATCCAGGGATTATAGCCATCAATCCAAATGTAAGAGAAGAAAAACATGACTGAAAAGTAAATAGGTTTTATCTCCGAAATTTTCAACTCTACAAATATCTACAGGGAAAAGCTAAAAGTGAATATTGGAAATACTAATGTCTGGTAAATGACACAATCCTACCCAGTCTTCGACCTTTTCCCTGAGGGCAAATTTTAATACCTGGATTCTTATACTAATAAACATAATTGCCAGTATAGCACTCAGGTCAAATCTTTTTCTTTCATAAATTCTACCACATCTCATGCAAAAAAAAAGGTTTACCTCCAGGTTGCTTAGCACAGTAGTACTAAAAAAAATTTTAACAAAACCTAGTCCATAATTACTTCATCAGTGAAACAGATTTTAAAAATCCAATTGGCTTCTTTTTTTTTTTAATTAACAAAGGACAAGCTTGTTCTAAAATCATTTCAAGAATGCCACACTCCATATTCAGTCTGTTCTACTCCTACAGAATAACATTTAGTCTGAGCAAAGAACTAATTTTATCACTTCAAAATGAGGAATGCTAAATTTTGTTTTACATAAACTAACAAACCCTAATACCAAAGAATTTTTTTAAAAAAAGCTATCAAATACTTGCATATTAAATGGTTTAATATATATTAAATGGATAGGGATGGAAATGTTTCAGTCAGCCACAGCTCAAGTTTTACTTACAAGAATGGGAATTGTATCTAACTTAAACCAAGAAGAGCACCAAATTTACACTCTCCTATATGTAGTTATATGTAAACACTGAAAGTTCAGTTATCATTAGTGCCCCTACTGTAATCACCAACCAACCACTTTGCTATATACTATTCATAGTGCAAAGAAAATATTTCTACCAAAGAACTGAATCCCCTTATAAGGAAACAGCCAATTTTTTAGGGCTAAAAAGGAAACAAGAGAAAGGTAGAATCCCATTTTAGCAAATATAGTGAGGTATAGTTCTACATATACCAAGGCTATTTCCATGCCATAGAAATGCACAGGAATACTGCTTTGTTGATTTGGATACCAGTTTTGTTCAATGAGAAATCCATATAGCAAACATATTTCACTTGTCTTTATGAAGTTGGCAGTCAATTAGAAAGTGTTCTGTTATTTATATATAAAAATATAAATATCAGTATATAACAATAAGCATGCAAAATGTTATGTTGGTTGTTCAGAGTTCTTAAAAGAATAAAAGTGACTTGTTTCCTGGCTCCCAGTGGCTGGGCTGGTGGGGACTATAAAATGAAGTTAAGATAATTCATACACTAGCAGAAATCTCAGGACACAAACACCCTTAAATACCTCTGAAATGCTGTGAATTACCTTCTGAACTACGGCAGTTCGAAGCAACTTAGAAGTCCTAACATTTTGTAGTCCCTCCCAGCTTAAGTAGGTAACAAGAAGCCAGGAAACAGTATTTCCACCACATTTCTCCCTCTCGACATAGAAAAGCCCAAATCATTACCAACACAACATTCTGAAAAACACATCAAAATTTATTAATAATTTTTGAATACATTTCAAATATAATTTCAGCAGAAGGGAATAATATTATTTACCCTCTCAGGTTCCAGTGAGTTTAGGAACATTTCTTTCAGAACACGTACTCCTCCATTATTTGGTCACTACGCAAATGTAGCATATCCCTGACAACTGCTTCATGTAACTAAAAGCAAATAACCATTTAATTCCTCCATTTTTAGCAATAAATTTTTTTCAAAAAGGGTTATATAAAACATAGCAATTTTGATGTTCCTTAAAGTTCACTCAAATGGGATTCTACCTGTTGAAGAAAAACAGAAAGGCTAGAAAAGTGATCAAGATAGGGTACAGAGAAAAAAAACGAGATCAAATTTAGATCACCAAAATTAACCTGACAGTAAAAATAACAAAGGACAAATAAGAGGTTTAACACAAAGATCTTTCCACAGCAAATTTTCATACAGTAACTCAATGTGTTCAGTTAAGGATTTCCAGAAGTTATAATTAAATGTTCTGAAGTGAAAAATGGATGACACAATGCAAATACCAAGTGTTTTCTGCATATTACCCCAAATCATGCTGGGGGGAGGGAGGAGCACAAGAAGTTATATCATCTGTAAGAATGAAACAAATATAATCATCTTAAATTCTTGGCCTTCCCTTTTTTTTTTTTTTTTTTTTTTTGCAATTCACTAATGAACAAGATCAACTTCACCATCATGCCTTGAAATAAATCAACCCTTCTCCCCCAAATAACAGTAATTAGCCTGAGGTATTTTAGTATGGCTTTTACTTTCCCAACTTTCTTGGAAAAGGAACGCATTACTTCCATTAAATCTAGAATCCCAGATGCCTTCATACAGCCCAGAGTCCCAATTCTAGCAGAAGCCACAAAGATTTGCCACAAGAATGTCTCTTGTACAAATCTAAGATAGAGGTACTAGCCATTGGTTTTCCAGTCTGAAAATTATAACCCTGGTTCAAACAAGGTGCTAAATATAACACATACACAATAAAGGTTAAAATTTCTGACCTTTTAATGACCAAGAACAATTTTTATATAATGTAACTTAATAAGCCTCAACACTCTTGTGAGGTAGGTAAGTAAACAATACTACCCATTTAAATATATGGATAGATTAGAGGTATGAGTAAATAATATACTCACATATTAAGCAATGACAATTGGAATAGAACTCTCTCCCTAGCTTCAACCCCAAGACCATAATAAATTTAACTTTAACAATAATGATCTTTAAAGGGTTATTATGATTCAAAATTTTGTCCACTGGTTCTCCATTCACCCTTGCATATTGGTAGATGCAGGACTGCTTTTTAAAGTCTGGTCCCTTCTCCTAAATAATGTCCATTAGTTACAACTATCAAGGTCAACTTCTAAATATGTCAAATTAAGACATTATCCTGGGAGGACTAACATTCTGCTTGGTAATTTATTTTTAAATTGCAACAAAAGAACTTGCAATGGGCTTCTATCAGGTGGTGTAAGTGATCATTTTCAGTGAAGGTACACCACAATACCACTAAGAAAAGGAAAGATGCTTTCAGTTTGAATGGACACAGTTACACAAGTAGAAGAGGACGCTAACTTCTGAAAATACTAGGTTTTATTCACACCCCAGTGGTAAACAATAACCTTAATAGGATGACTAAGTTTCTTCATAGATCACTATGTCACATTAAAATACAAAAATCCATAAACAAGCAGACAGTTAACGAACATTAGATGTGGTCTTACTGGAAATTCTTAACCATATACTAGTCTCTTCTCAAATCAAATTTCAAAATGCTTTGTCTCCTAGTTAGTACAAGTCACTGCATTTTCTAACAAAGTAATGAAGGCACAGCTAGTGCAAGCAGACTTAAACCCATTCAACTACTGGGCTGAAAAAATACTTTGGTTGGTTCTTCAGAAGGATTTCTTTTTTTTTCTAAACCAATATTGGTCTCAAATAACAGTTCGGAGAATTTTCGCAGCAGCAGTCTAATAGCTACATGACAAAAGACTTCACAAGAACCAAACTCTGTAGCAATGGACATGCGTTAGGGGATTCACTGCATTCTACATATCCGGCAAAAATTATACTATTAAAATGCTAGGTAGAATGAACCTATAGTTTGAACTGGTTCTTAAACGTTCATTTTTTCTTTTTTTCCTTTTTTAACAAAAATTGTTTACTTGATTCTACCAAGAAAATACAAAACATAAGGCTGTAAGTAACTACTAGTTGTGTGTTTAGGCTGGGACAGTGCAGTAATCCTCAAGGCCACAGCACACACTGCTCACTGCTGCTTGCACTCGGCTGGGTTTGGATCTTTCTGTTGAAAGGAAGACAGAAAACAACAGTCAAGGCCACTTTCAGCACAATTCTGTCAAAACTGTCAAACTTTCCCAGACAATTCCTCCAATTTTTGTCAAGGTGGGAAAAATGCAACTCCTAAGGCAGTAAACGTCAAGAAATCACAGTTGTATACTTGATAAAAACACACAGACCCAGAAGCTGGAGCGCCCCATTTAAAGGGGTTGGGAAATAGGAACAAAAAGCTCTCTACTAGTCAAGGTATAATTCCTTGTAGAAACCTCAGGTATCAATTTGCTCACTGGACTTTATCCAATATTTAAATGACTTAGTGGGAGAGTGGAGGGAGGACAAAGTTTTTTATGTTGCCATAAGAGGACAGTTTCGGTAACAGATTAACAAACAAAAACTGAAGTTGCAAGGGTAGTAAGATGATATTAAGATTTAAATGATAATAAAATGATAATAAGACTTTAAAAACATTTTTACACAAAGATATTAACCTTAGATCTTAAGCCTCAAGTCATAAAGAATCAGGTTGAATTAAAGAAGAATTCAAATTTCATCGGTAGACAGCACTTTAAATATCACAGAAAAAGTTCTAGAAATCAGTGCCATAAATATCTACATTTAAAAATTTCATCTCACAGCTAAATTCAGCCTTTATTAACAAATGAAACAAAAACATCCAAAATCACATGGTTGTCTAGACAGACATTAAAAAAAGTATTTTCTCTTACCTTCGGATCATATTCTGGATCATTTTCCTCATCAGCTTCTTCTTCCCCTTCCTATATTAAAGTTTAAAATGCATCCATGAAGTAGGTACAGTAGAAGAAAACTCATAATGTAGGCAGATTAATCTAAATTATAGTATAGGGCAACAAGTTTTCATCATTACAAAACTTTGATGAAAAATGCAATTTAATCTGAAAGCTTCTAATATGAAAATTTCCCAACACAACTCGAGACACATCCAGTCTGCTTTTATTGAAAAGATTTACTGCAGCCAACGTTGAAAAAATTTACTGCAGCTTTTGACTTCTTCAAAGAGCTGATAACCCTGCAGAACAAAATTTTTAAATAAAACATTGTTGCTGATAGTTTTGCAGCTTATCTACTATATACATATATTACCTGTAGAATTATAGTATATCTTTCAATTAAAATATATTCCTTTTTTGATAAAGTAAATCTTATGCCAAAAACCTTAATGCTAATTTGATAAATATTCAACAACACAAATCATCAATTAAACAATTTAGCTGTCTCATCTTGCAAATATTACCTCATCATCAGCCTCTTCACCTTCTTCATCATACTAAAAAAAAAAAAATAAATAACTTTATTTAAATATGGTCGAGTTAAAAACTATCAGAACCAAAGCATCAGAAGAAACCTCCCAGGCCACCTAATTCAAAACCATAGCTATGTAAGGCTATCCCCACACAGCATACTAGCATTTCTAGTTGTAACACTAATATGATAAGCTCAGCAGACTATTCCCGCACTCCACTCTATCCCCATTCACTGGATATAAGCATAATAAATTACTCGAGTCATCAAAAAACAAGGATAGGATCCTAGACAGAGATCATCTAGTCCAACCTTCTTCATGAGAAAACTAGCTCAGAAAAGGAGAAAACCCAAGGTTAACCAAATACAAGACTGCTAGTGAGCCAATTAATTTTAGAAGCACTTAAGTTTCCAATAGCACGACTGCAAAACAATTATTTCTTCAATAATCAATAATTATCCAGTGGGCAAAAGGTCTATTATTGTCAATGTTTCGAAAAAAGATATATAAATTCAATTTTAACAAGTGTCATGCCACTGATGTTAATGATTATCTTCTAAGGGACCCAAAAAATATCATCTTTGTCCATCCTATGCCCTCTAGAATGGCCAACAACTCAAGCACCAACTACAGTTTTAAAATTCACAAGAGTTTTGCTAAGCCAATGAGGTAAGGAAATTCCAAATATACCTAACTAAAGCCACTTTGCTATGATATATAATTCACTGTCACTGTATACACTGGATTATTCACAACCTCAAAAGGATCTTGCCCTCTAAAAGAGGTTGTAACTGTGCTGATATTCATCTTCACTTACATCATCATCATCATCTTCAATAGCTTCTCCTGTGAAGTATAATACTGATCTCGGGACTATACGCTCACGTAAAAAGTGACCAATTTCAAAGTCTGCTGCAAGGATAGCTTCCGCATCATCATCCTGTACAAGATGACAGTACTTTATAAGTAAAAACCACAAACATATAAATAATTTCATTAAGCTGGTTACATAAGTAATCTTTATAAAACTGGGATGCAGCCAGGCTAAGTGTATAAGGAAAAAGGAATTCTAATGCTTAGGTACACCTTACTAGCTTATTTTCTCAGTCAAACAATACACAAGTCAAAAATGGTGAATTAAATGACACATCTTTAATTCAATAATTTGAACCAATGCTAAGGGAGTCTTGATATTTCAACCAATGATCCACAAAAACTATATTTATATTTTCAAAAGTCACAAAAGTATTATGTTCACATTTTATATAGGTCAAATGTAGATACTGCATTTTGTTCTTCAGAAACCTCTTGTACAAAGAATGAGGTTAAAACCTTCCTGAAATTTTAAAATTAGCTTATGTGCATGGCTATATGGGAAACAGCATGATCTAGGCATACAATTCTTAATTGAAGTAAGTATGGTAGAGGAAGGAAAGGAAGAAGAGAGCAAGTTAAATCAGCTTAGCAGATAAGAAATACAGGTGATGGGGCAGCTAGGTGGTATAGTGGATAGAGCACAGGCTCTGGAGTCAGGAGGACCTGAGTTCAAATCCAATTCACTTAACCCCAACGCTTAGCAAAAAATAAATAAATAAAACAAAAAAGAAATACAAGTGAAAATATGGGGGGGGGGGGGGGCACGAGGAGAAATAGGAGAATCCAACTAGTTCCATTTTAAAAACCAAAAAAATGCCAGGGAAGCAAGAGAGAACATGAGTTACTGATCTCTCATGTTTCAGTTGCCATTCATCTAAATCATGTATCCTCTTTTTAAGGACTGTATATTTAAGAATATGAAAGTAATGAATATTAGACCTATGAAAAATATTTTTTTTTACCTGCTAGGGCATTAAGTTCTATTAAACTAAGAAGCTAAAGAATCCAAAGGACTATTATATCACTTAATATGAAGCCCTGGTTTTAAGATGATCACAGGAAAATGCCCTAAAAGAAAAAGTCCAGGTGGATATATACAGTTGGGTAGTATGCATATGGTTTTTAAAAGAGTTAAGTTCAATTAACAAGTTAAAAATTTCTTATCTTTAATTTGAAAAAACTTACCATAAAAAATTAGTTAATGGCAAAAACATTTCAGAAATGTACTATCACAAGCACATAATCAGATTCAGAATGATTTCTCCCCCTTAGTTACGGAACAAAACCATTTTAAATACTAATAAGCATTATAAATAAGAATTCTAAGAATGCTAAAAGCAATGGGTAAAGAGTTTTGAAAAGGAATGCAACTGACATGTATAGAAAGTCATTACATTTCAACACAGAAAGGCAAACCTATCAAACCAATGCCTATCACAGAATTTTGCATACAGTGGGAACTTATTAAAAATGGTCAAATGAACGAACAGATGCCATTCTGTATGCTGCCATGGCTGCAAATTATTTTAGGACTGCAGTCTACCTAAAAATATTAAAGATGATAACTATCACAAAAAGCATTTTCTTCAGTAAAAAATAACACTTCAAAATCTTTCTACCAAACCCATTCACCTTATATTAAATATAACATGTCCAACCCAACAAAACAAAAATTAGGCACAACTCTCTAAGTCTATTCAATGCTACTGCATTTCTCAGGATCCAGCAGGGGTCACCACAGCATCTAAGAACAACTACTCTGACTTCCAGAGAACCAAACATTCCATCAACCTCCACATTCGGGATAGAAGCAATTTCTGCTGGAGTAAGTTCAATCATTAAAGGAAATGTTATTCTGTCCAGGGTGGAGGTGACCCTTGCAATACAGCATAAAAAAGCATTCTCGTTTCACTGAAGAAACAAACGGCATTTCAGAAAACATGGGTACAGAAGTACAAAAGTTTAGGGCACAAAATTTGGCACTAACATCCTTCAAAAGCCTTTCAATGTCTATAGTTTTTTTTATTACTTTACTAAAGAAAACAATTGGACTCACCAGGTCTCCACTCTCAGGAACTACAATTAAACGGCAAAGGGAGGGAAAGAAAGAAAAATAAAAAGATTATTAATATTTTAAGAACAACACTTAAGCACCCAACCAATTCCAAATTAAAAATGCTGTTTACCTTCAGGAGGAGAAAAGAAATTGAAGAAAGAATCATTGGAAACTGTTTTTGTCACAGTTCGAACAGTCCCACGTCCCTTGTGTTTCTGTTTCTTCTTAATAGTTTTCAAAGTGACATTTTTCCCTTTTTTCCAATCTACCTGACACCTTTGAGAAACAGGGAAGTTTTGATCACATTTACAACACTAAAAAAAAATCCTCTCAAAGAAAAATATAAACTAGAGGACAAATATGTTTATCATGTGTCTTATGTGAACATCACACTATCTGCAATTGGCTTAAGTTCACAGCAGAACAATAAAACTGTTTCTTCTAAGAGCAAGTACTTTTAATAAAACAAATTTTGTTTTAAGATTTTACATCAAGATTCGACCAATTCATTTAACAACTGTAATTCATCTACTCTTTGGAAGAACTGTACTATGTGTTAGGTGGAATACAAATCAACCAACCAAAAGGCATTTATTAAGTACCCACTGTGTACTGGGAACTGGGAACACAAAGATTTAAAAAAAAAAATCAAAGGCTTGGCTTGCCCTCAAGGAGCTTACATATTCTACTGGGGGAAAAACATGTATATAGAAGTACACACAAAATAATTTAGGGAAAGGAGTAGGGAGATAAAAATAGGCCTCATGTAGAAAGAAACTATATGAATATCATTAAGGAGAAGAATGTGAATATTATTAAGATACTGACAGAGTAAGTATTTGCCTCTACTCCTACAATTTACATTCTAGCAGGTTTCAAATCTGTAAGTCACAACGATTAGCAAACAGGTTCAGCTCTGAAATATTAAGATTCAAATAAAGAATAAGATATTCTTTTATAAATACATGTAAAACAATTACATTAAATTTATAATGTGTTTTGAAACATCAAATAATCTCACCCTGTGCAACTCATAATTTCTGGTCCATCAAAGGAGAAGGGATCAGAATCATCTGGCTCTGACCGCATACGATATGTCTTCATCAGCACCTCATTTGTGAAATATTCATTGGGTTCAAAGTGAAATTCTAATGTAAAACTCTAAAGACAGTTGCAAAGATTAAGATATTATTGGTTAGAACCTCTTTTGTTCCCAACCTAAACAAATAAACTAAATAAATGCCTGACAGGGCATTAAACAATGTTAATCCAAAGCTCTATCCCAAGTGAATATATTTTTATTTTGCTTGAAATTTTAAAAATGGTCAAATACTAGGAAAATACAAGTGATATAATAGATTTAATAAATTTTCACAAAAACTTAATTTTCATACATCCTGACTCTTGCTTTCAAGTAAGTACACTCCCTACCCTCCCAAGATCCCATCTAACAGTCAGGCTCCAAATTAAGATTCGTATTATTATTTTTAAATTGTTTACCATAGGTTGGCCAGCATCTGAGAACTTCACTTTAATATCTTTCAAATGCTTCAGAATAGGTTCATCATGTTCCTTTAAGTAAAATTTAAAAAATTATCAAGACGGATATTTGAGCTGAATATTAAAGTTAATAAACACATTAAGAACTACCCTTTCTCCCCCCCAAGTCAACAACTTTGACGACAACTTTGATCAATACAATGATTAGTCTTATTCTTTCTCTTAATGCTTAGCCAGGCAATCATACATAGGTGTGAGATCCTCAGGCCAAAACAGATTTTTGTTAAAGAACACCATAATGTGGATAACTTTGAAAAAAGTTCCCTTCTAACACTGACAGAAAAGAACATGGGTATGAGAAAGCTTCCTGCTAGTCATTCAACCTAAACAGTGGCTTACATGTCATGATGCTCAGAAGACAAGTAGTTGTCCCTGAGAACACTAAAAATGAGTTACATGAAAACAGAATCTAAAAACAACTGGTCAAAAAGAAGTAACCTATGATTTTTTTTTTAAACTATGCATCAAATTATGCATAAACAAAGCCAATTTTGCACTTAGTTAAATACAAAACACTAATTAATGTATATTTCAATGTGTTAAATGAATGGTGCTATGCTTGGCAAAGATACTAAACTACTGTGACCTCATCTGAACCTCCAAGGCATTTTTATTATGGATTTAAATTACCTGAACCATATCACTGAGCAAGTCAACATTTTTAAAAACAGTCAGCCAAAATTCAGGAATTCCTTTAGGGTCTTCTTTTTCTTCATCTTTTTTCTCCTCTTCAAGCTTAGCCTTCTCTTTCATTTCCTCCTTGAAAAAATACAAGTGTTACTTACTAAACTTGGGAGGAGGCACATTATTCTTTATGCTTCACTTTTACTTTCAGGTTTTTCATTTTCCTTCCAACCACCAAAAAAAAAAATAAAACAAGTAGGGGCAGCAAGGTGGTGCAGGGGATAGAGCACCAGCCCTGGAGTCAGGAAGACCTGAGTTCAAATGCGGCCTCAGACACTTGACACTTACTAGCTGTGTGACCCTGGGCAAGTCACTTAACCTTAACTGCCCAGGCAAAATAAAACTAGTGCAGTAATACAGTTTTGCAGCAGAACATTTTTGTCCCACTACCAAATATGTGAAATCATTTGTCATGTTAGCCAATTAAACATGTGGCAAAGTTGGCTTAGTACCAGTAGCCACACAAATAGAGAAAAACCTAAATGGATCAAAAACAAAACCTTCTAAATTCCTATTTAATTTTGTTTAAAGTCTGTTTAAACATGCTATTATTACCTTAATGATTAAAAGTTGTACAATTCTAACAAAAGAATACTCACTGAAATCTCTTCATCGTCATCTGGTTTCCATTCACATTCTTCCTCTGTAGGTTCATAAACTGCATTGATGATTTCACTTCTCTGAAATGATTACACCATTAAGTCATTTAAATTTATAGCTTCCATTCTTAATTAATTACTTAATTGTGAAAGATACTGCTGCACAAAGTCTCAAGCAACAACCCCATAAAATTAGAGATTTTTCTTCCCCTCTGAGCTCACTATGACACCTAGATGCACTGATCTTGCCCTTTCACCAATGGCAAATAATTCCAAGCATACTATGTGTAATAACCATTTCAACATTAGGCCAAGAAACTAAAACATTTAATTCTGCTAATTTTAATTAAAAGTACAAATCTCCACTTCTTAAAACTGCATACTTTGGGTAAGATATGGTAGGATACATTACCTTATCAAAAAGTGGCTGGTAAAGAACAGCATATTTTCTTTCAAGAGCATGAACTTCCTCATAGAACTTGGCTTCTATCTGTGCACATTTCACCTGAAGATTTTTGAGGGCATTCACACGTCGCTTAACTACTTTTGGCAAGCTAAAAGATTTAAAGAGAACCCATTATTATGTGAGTTCGATAGTGAAGTTACATATTAATTCCTTTTTCTTATTTATAACCATATGAAGCAAAAAAAGGGCAAAAATTATGCCAGTTCAGCAGCCAGTGTACCATTAATGATAAAAGACTCAACTCCTAACCCCCCAAAAAAGACTCTTACTCATTCGCAAGGCTACACTAAAACATGATGGTGTAGATGTTTTGTAACTGATTTAGCCCTAAGGATAGAATGCTAAGCAAATCCTACAAAACTGTAATTTTTCCAAAAATGAAGTTTTAGAGCAATTAATACAATAAGAAATCATTTACAGTCAACTATCAGTGAATCAATAATTTTAAAAGAGGGTTACTACTAATCAACTGACAAAGCCAAAGAATGTTTCTGATTTATGAACGCTCTAAAATGCCCTTTTCTTTTCAAAAGTGAATAAACAGATCTTCACCTTAAAAAAGTTACATTTCAAAGAGACAATCAAATTTTCACACTGACTTATAACTTTAGAGACATTTAGCCAATCATACATGAAGCTAGGCCTTCAATTTAACAAACTGGCATATCAGTAAAACTGCTAGGTAAAGTACATAATAACCATGCCTTTTCTCTTTCCATAATCACCCTTAGAGAATAAGGTTCCCTTTCAATTCATAGCTACCTTACATCCTTCTGTCATGGGCAGAAGGAAGACAAAAATCCCCCCCAAACCTCCCAACAAATCTCATTAACAAGAGATAAAGACAGAGGTGTACAGTAAGGGGAAAAGACACTCCCCAGACAAGAGTCAAGTGACCTTTCATTTTCAGCTCTGCCACAAACTAGTCAAGTGTCCTTCAGGAGGAAGTCACTTAACTTCATTAGCCTCAGTTTGTCTATAAAAGGAGGACCCAGATCACTTTCAAATATTTCCATTCTTACATTTTTTGATCTCAGGCTATGACCCTACAAACTGAAACTCAAAATAAGCTTCAAAAGACTGCTGTCACCCCTGCTAAGTTACTTAAAGTGACAGTATTAAAAAGCTCTGGCCTTAAATCAACTTTTTAGGATTACCCTATTATATAGTGAGCTCTTTAAAGTAGGAACAGCTATACGACACCTAGTAGGAAACACTGATTATAGTGCAGGGTATCTACCTTTCAATGTATCCAGTTGATGTTCCAACTAAACCATCCAATCTTTCTTGAAGAGCTGCAAGAATCTGAGGATTCTGCATCATCTGAACAGTCAACTGACGAGCTAAGTTGAACAAGAAGGAATTTTTTGAAAAGACTATTATAATTGATCAGTAGATTAATACAGTCACAAGGTTTCCCATAAATCTGGGGTCTAATAAGAAATCTCAGCTTAGCATAAGAATAAATGAGCATTAGGCTAATGAAAATCACAATGGGAAAAAATTGCCCTGAATCCTGGTAATGTATCTATGCCATAGTTCTGAAAAGCAAATTACTCAATGCCAATTCAATTCTCGAATTTTATTAATAATTGCCAATGTGAATAGGCTTTGTCAGAATTTTCTTTTATGTAAAAGAAATCAAGACAGGATTTGGCTAAAATCTGAAATATCAGTTTTTAAATTTATCTTTATAGAGTATTTGGTTTCAAAGGTGGAAAAAGAAAATTCACCTGCATCTAGAACCTTAGTCAGAGCTAAAATGTGATCTCTTCTTTCAGTTCTTCATTTAACCCTGTCAGCCCCTCACTATGAATTTGCAGACAGGTGCCAAGCCTACACCCATGAAAATTACAGGTACAGTTCAAAACAGGAAAAAAGAGCAAACACACAAAAAAATCAGGGAGATGCAATAGATTCCTTATGTTTTACTCCACCCCTAAAAATGAGGTCAATAAATCCACATGGGATTGAGGGTAAAGAGAGAAGTTTGGGATAGAGCAATGGCATTTCTAACTCACTGATGATAGTTACCAGAAATTATGGATTCCCATCAACAGTCAAGGCATTACCTTTGCTGTTTGCATCTTCACCAGTTTCTTCTTCTTCCACTTCTTCAACATCTTCCATATCTTGCTGGTCAAGTTCAGTTTCTTTGCTGTAATTAAAAATTGGCAGATTAGAATTTATATGTACTAGGAAAGAAAATCTTCAAAAATTCATTTCCCTATACTAAAAATCATTCTTTTTTAAACGATACATAATAGGGAATTTCTAAGATGATGCAAAATTCTCCTACTTTTTTGTGCTAAAGACAACATCAATTTGCTACCTCCTGGCTTAAAAAATGAGTGGTTGTTGTGAAGAGGCCTTACACTGTGACAGATAAGGAGAAACTGCTTTAAGGAGAAGGATCCTGCCTCCCTGCTCTTGGGTGAATGCTGCAAGGGGAATCTGTTTCATGAAAGGTGTGACAAGAGGCTTCCCTGATATTCTCTAGGGCAGGGTTTCTTAACCTGGGATTCATAGACAGAGTCAAAATATCTGAACTTGGATAGGGGAAAAAAAATTACATAATTGATTTTATGCAGTTAAAAACAATTTTTATAAGCAGGGGTACAGAGGATTAACTAAGGGATCCATGACACACAAAAAAAGTTAAGAATTCTTGGTCCAGGGCAACTTTTTCCAACTACTCTTAGGACTAGTCCATAATACATGGATAAGGAACCCCATCATTTTGGAATGTCTCACAACCTTTTTTAATTTTAAATTAGTTTAGCGTTAAGAATGAACGAGCACTTATCAGGAGAGTAGATGAGATAATAATTATGATAGTGAAAGGAATGAAGATGCCTATGTGTACAAGGGGTATTCATAAAGTCTCGGCACTATTTAAACTTAAATACTGCAGTTGTAGGTATGATAAAATCAACAGATATAATGTCTTTGAGAACAGGGATTTTCATTTTTTAAAGTCTTTGTGTTTCTGACTAAACCCTAGCAAAATTTGTGGCACATAGTGGGCATTTAATAAATGCCTATTTAAAATACATTTAAGCAAATCCTCAATGTTTATAATCACTCTAATAATAAACAATTTACTTTGGGACATATGGCAGTCAAGCAACAGGCAGAAAACTCTCTAGGCTAGTGCTGGAGCTAATAAATTACCAAGTAATATAAAGGGACACTTTTTTCACCTTTATTGTCTTAAGGAATACTAAGAACACACCAATCACAACCTTAAGAAATGGGAAAATAAAGCAATCTATTATTACCAGATAAAGCACTTTAAACATGAGGCTTTATTCAAAAAGTACTCTGGAAAATAAAATCAAATCAATTTAACAAATATTCATTAAGTCCCTACTAGATGCCCAGTACTATGCTAAGCATAAGCATTAGCCAATAACTTAGTAACTAAAATAATTTATCAAAATTACACTTTATCCACAATTTATATGAACAGATACTAACTATTAGTCATTTAGTATACATTTTATTAAAATGGAATTCATCCACACACACTACTACTATAAAAGGACAAAGTAGGGGTCAATTTTTTATAGTGCAAAGAAGAAAATTACTTACTTATCAATGTCCGCCATGTTGCAAGACCTCTGAATATTTGAGATCTATAGAAATAAATGAGTGTTAAAAATATTCATAAAGAGTAAGTTATTTGAGAAATCAAAATCACAATGGACCTAACTTTATAATTACCCTAGGAAGCCAGAAGTCAACATACTACAGCTAAATCCCAGAGCCACCACCCACAGCAATTTTCATGAGCAGCAATTCCTATCCCTCCACTTCTGGTAAGCCACTGTAAGATCAGTTACCAACAACTTTTTGGGTCCTGCAAAAATTCCATTAGCTTCCACAGGATGGCAAGGCAAGTTCTTCTTTCCCTCTTTGTCCAACGGTAAAAGACAATTATGGGAAATAACAGAAGAGTAATAAATTGTTACTCCATCATCCTAGTCTAATTCCTGAATGTACCCACTTTGGAAATCGATAGTCCGATCTCTTCAGGCTCATTAGTCCATAAAAAAGTAAAACTACAAGGGTAACCCAGGGTTCAACTGTACAATTGCTTCTCTCTTTCCCTGAAGCATTTCTTTAGGACCTACTTTGAGAAAAGTAAGTCCCCAAAAGAGAATGTAGTATTTTATTAATAGGCTCAAGGATCTAATACATAAAGAAATCTAAAATACTGGTCAAAAATAAAAAGATTTTGATCTACAATGGCTCCTATAAACCTAAACAAAGCATACAGAGAAATACCATCCTAACAAACTGCTTTTGTTGCACAGAATTTTGCTTAAGTGAACCTAGTGGTTGGTTGTTATGATGACAACTATAGTGATAAAAATTATATTTGTTATAATTACATACCTTAAGCCATCAAAAAGGCAGCATATCTTAACAGAAATAAAGACCTGGGTTCAAGTCCTGATAGTCTAATAAGTCACTTTATCTCTCAGTGACCCAGTCAAATCTACAAGACTGTAAGTTGTAGGTTAGTTGAGAAAGAAACTCCCTCTACTAGTTTAAATTCCCTAGTAGAGGAAGTTTCTTCCATGGTTAATAAAAGTATGTCTAACCTAAAAACATTTGTTAAAAAGGGATTTAATTTACTTGATCTGGGTCCACTTGTTCTTGACAGGTTTGAGTTTTTGCCTTATCTTGCCAAGAGGCAGGCTTCTGTAGCACTTGCCAGCCATATTCTCATGTTATATATCTGGTTAGCCTCAGGTACCCTTTATGTGTGATTTTCCACGTCAGAATGTAAACTCCTTGAGGACTGAAACCATCTTACTTGTGGGGTCTTTGTACCCCCAGCACCAAACAGCACATGGCACAGAATAAGTGTTTAATAAATACTTAAACCAGTTATTTATGCTACTAGATAAAGGAGAAAAGATCCACAGTTAAGGCCGGTGGATGACAAGAATGTAAACATAATGTAAAAGGTACTGAGAGCCTGAAGCCACCATTAGAATTTAACCCTCAAATTAATATTTCTCCATCTCATTTATAAATTACTTCATTTTAAAAAGCATAACTTATACAGGCTATGAATAGATGTGTTAACTGTTGTTCAGTCGTTTTTGAATTGTGTCCAACTCTAGTCATTCCATTTGGGAATTTCTTGGCAAAGATACTGGAGTAGTTTGCCATTTCCTTCTCCAGCTCATTTTTCAGATGAGGAAACCAAGGCAAACAAGTGACTTGCCCAGGGTCACACAGCTAGTAAGTGTCTGAGGCCAGAGTTGAACTCAGGAAGATGTAATTAGGCAATTGCAAATCACAGTACAAAGGGGGATACAGGTGCTCAATCCAGAGTGTCCCACTTTAGCCATTTAAATAAAGAGAAAACAAGCAACTTTGTGTGGCACTGGTATGAGGCACAGGTATTGTACCTAAAACAATACATAGATACAATGAGTGCCCTCTGGGGCCAATATGAACAGAAAATATCACCTGTGGCTATCAGATAAACTGAGGCAATATTATAGCATGAGTATTTCAATTCACTTATAACACCTATTCTACAGTTGTGTTACAGATGGGGAAAGTAGGTTAAAAGAATGGCTGGACATTCTACATGCACTGTGACCTTGCCAAGCTAGATTACATTAAACTCCTGAAGTGTGCCATGTACCACAGCTCATAGCACTTGGGAGGTACTAAAAAAGCTACTATGGAGAATCCAATACACACTCACATTCATAAGCTGTCTTGCCCAGTTTGGCAAAAACTAACATACATAACAAGATCAACTCAAATTTAATGTATCTTTACACTCTTGTGAAGAGTAAATAAAAGCATGTTAAACATTTTCATTTGGAAGAGGGAGGGACCATTAGTATGCTATACAGGTGATCAGATAAAATGGCTAGGTCTGTGGGTTCTGCTTCACTGTTCTTGTCACAAGGAAAAAGTTGGGGAAAAGAAGGGAAGCAGAGAGGAAGAGATCTGGAAACAAGTGCTATCTGAAAACAAAAAAGGCA